GGGGGTTTTAGGGTTTTAAGGGGGTTTTAAGGGGGTTTGTGGGCGGGTTTCAAGGGGGTTTTAAGGGGGGTTTAAGGGGGTTTGGGGGGGGTTTTAAGGGGGTTTTAAGGGGGTTTTTAAGGTTCAGGCTCCAGGTATATTTAGGTTTTTTTCTTAGGATTTCATGTAGGGTTCAGGGGCACGAAGGCAAGGGTTTGATGGAGCAAGCGCGTGCAGGCAGCACCGCCTGAGCCTCTGAGCGCTCATCCCCCTGAACCCCAAGCCACCTAAACCCCTAAATCCTTAAATACCTCCCCAAACTTGCTAAACCCTAATCCCCAAATCCCGAAGCCCTAAACCCTAAACCCTAAACCCCGAAATCCCGAAATCCCGAAACCCCGAAACCCCGAAACCCCCAGAGCAGCCCCCCTTCGTGGGTCTTATTCAGGCAGAGGCCTCGGAGAAGAAGACGAAGGCACCAGGGGTTTTTGGGGTTTGGGGTAGGGGTTTAGGTTTTTTGGGCCAGGGTTTGGGGGTTTAGGGGGTTTAGGGATTCTAGGGGGATTAGGGGGTTTAGGGGGTTTAGGGGGATTTAGGGGTTTAGGGGTTCAGGGGTAGAGGGTTTCGGGGGTTTAGGGCTAAGGCTCAGCTGGTTTAGAGGTTCAGGGATTTAAGGGGTTTTGGGTGGTTTAGAGTTTGGAGTCTAAACTAGGTTTACCATGATATGGGCATGATATTCAGCTTTGAAAACGAAGGGTGTTTGGGGTTGTCGGTTTGCGGAGTGCGAGAACAAACCTCAAACCTCCACAGCTTTTCAAGGCCTCCAAGAACCTGAAAACCTGAAGACCTAGACCCAAAAACCCTAAACCCTTTTTTCAGCCCTAAACCCTAAACCCTGAGCCCTTACAAACCCTAAACCCTAAACAGAAAAGAAGGCACGCAAACCCCGAGGTCTAGAGAATGCAGGGGTCGGAAAGAAGCCCCGCACATGAAGGAAGGGGAGCAATGTCCAGCAACGAAGCCAAACCCAAAACCCAAAACCCAAAACCCAAAACCCAAAACCCAAAACCCAAAACCCAAAACCCGAAACCCTAAACCCTTAACCCTTGACCCTAAACCCTAAACTTTTTGTCATATAATCATCCAATGGATAGAAGTCAAGCAGGCCTTCTCACTCCTTCGTCTTCCGAGAGCCGTCTGAGCCCTTACCCAAGCCTTATACTGCAAACACGAAAACCCTGAAACGCTAAACCTGAAAGCCCTAAACCTCTAAAGCCTAAACCGAAGACCCCAACACCCTAGATCCTCAACCCTAAACCCTAAACCCTCAACCCTCAACTCTAAACCCTCAACCCTCAACCCTCAACCCTAAACCCTCAACCCTAAGCCCTGAACCCTGAATCCGAACCCCGATCCAGGCCTGGAGGCCTTTCCCTTGGAACTACTTGCCCGACAAGGCCCTCCCGGAAGGAGAAGAGGGCTTAGGGTTCTTAAGGTCTAAGGTTTGGGGTTCAGGGTACTTAGGGTTGAGGGTTCGGGGTTCAGGGTTTAGGGTTAGGGTTAGGCCCCGAATCCCTGAGTGCGAAGGCCCTACGCCCTGAAGGTTTCAGTTGCTTGTATTTGCCATGTTTGAAGGGGCCTGGGAGAACGGATTTAGGGTTTAGGGGTCTAGAGCTTAGAGTCTACAGAGTTGAGGATCTGTAGTGTTTAGGGTCTTTGCTCTGGGGTTAGGTTTTCTTAGGATCTTGCTGGACTCACGCCATCTCGCCAAGCCCGAGGAGCATTGCCGGAAAGGGTTTAGGGTTTAGGGTTTAGGGTTTAGGGTTCAAAATAGTCCTGAGCCCCATGAAGCCGAAATCCGAAAACCCCCTCTAAACCCTAAACCCTAGGGTTCAGGGATTCAGAGAAAATCGGAATGCCGCAGAGTCTGGGGTAGTCGCAATTAGGGTTTATGGTTTGGGGTTTAGAACCAGGTTTAGGGCTTAGGGTTTAGGGTTTAGGGCACCATGTTTAAATGTGACGTGAGTCCGAAACCTCCAGCCCCCAAAGCCCTAAACCCTAAACCTGAAACCCCCCCCCCCTCCCCCCCCTCAACCTTTACTCAAGGGACTAAAGGAGGGACCCTGATAAGGGACCTTAGGGGTTATTGGGGGTAACTTAGGTATATCGGGACTATATAAGGTATATTAGGGGAATAAGATTACGGGTCCCTTCTGGGGTCCCTCCTTATACCCCATGCCCCTTAATTTACAGAGCCTGCCTTAGGTGGCCTTGGTCTGGGGAGCCGCCGCGGTACTCTTCATCTCGCCTCTCTTCGTGGCACCTCGGCGACGCCCGTGTTGGGGTTCGGCGGCTTTGGTGTTTGAGGGTTTGAGGGCGTTTTTGAGGAGTGTTTGAGGAGTTTTGGGGGGCTTAGGGCTTGGGTTTCGGCTGGGGCTTTCAAAGTTTAAGGATCTCGGATTTAGGGGTTTTGGATTTGCGGGGAGCTTACCCAGAAAATTCAAAAACTGCAGCAAAGCTCTCGAGAACAAACTGCAGGGTTCAGGGTGTTTAGGTGTTTGAGGGTTTAAGTTTAAGGTTTTTTCTCTCAGTAAGGGGTGTTGAGGGGCAGGCGTAGAGGTTAGTACTATTCTAACCCGAAACCCGAAAACTTAAATGCCCAAGTATGGTCGTAGTTTAGGAGGCCTGGAGTCTTTCACGTGCTTGGAGAGTCTTTAATAGACTTGCAGATCTCTCTTTACTAGTACTACTCTGAGCTGGACACATGTTAGGTTCAGGGAGTTTCGGTTTTAAGGTTGAGGGGTTAGGGTTCTAAGCTCTGACCTGTGCAACGGAGCGTCTTGTTGGAGCTGTGTATTTCCATAAACACGGGTGTGAGCCCCCTGGAAACCCCAGATAAGAACCAAGCAGGAGCCCAAAAACACATAAGGCCCAATACGGTAGGATAATCCCCTACAGAGGTCCTGCTGACTCTTGTTTATCTAGGGTTGAAGGTTTGCAGGTGGATTTTGTGGATAGTGGAACAAAACCCTCACCGATCTCCCAAGCCTGCCTGAACCGTAAAACATTTTGGTGAGAAGTCTGCGTCTTGCTGACGGCGAGGTTCTGATTCTTGTCAACCTCTCCTGGTTTCATGTCTGCAACTTTGTCTGGCACCTTGCTTGCACCAGAGCTTCTTGTACCTGTAGGACCTGTAGTTCTGAAGCCATATAAGCTTCTTCAGAGACACATCTAGAAAGATCAAAATAGGCCCCAGCACCGAGGCCCATCTTCCCAAATTCCGGCAAACCGCCTGAACACGGGATTGAGGGTTTGGGTTCCGGGTTTAGCCAATTCCCGCTAGACACCCAGCTGAAACCAGGCACCGGACTAGGGAAAAGCCGGTATCCTTGCCCCCGAACAGTGGCACAACCCCCCCGCCTCCATAGGGACGTACCTTGCAGGTATACAGGTGTACACCCAAATATTCGACCCAAGGCTTTGTGTCCTACACCTTCAACCCTGAGTGCCACCACACCCTACCTACACCCTAGACCCTAAACCCAAGACCCAAGACCCAAGACCCTACACCCTACACCCTACACCCTAACCCAAGACCCTACAGCCTAGACCCCCAGACCCTACACTTGGGTACTAACAGTCGTTGATAGGGATTACAATAGGGGGTACTATAATCCCAATTAACAGCCCAACCCTGCACCCGAACCCCCATCCATCCGAAGCCTTTTCAGGCATCACCGCAACTTCGCGCGCTGCAAAGAGGCGATTCCCGAGCTGATCCGGTCCGTGTCGAGGCCCTCTGCGCTTCAGTCAGGAGTAGGGTTTTTTTGGTGTAGGGTTGAGGGCCATGTGTGTAGGTCGCAGGGCGTTTAATGGGGTAGGGGGGTTGCATGGAGAAGTTGAGGTTGGTTTTGGCACGGTGTGGCAAACGGGTTGGACAGTTTGGCCTTTCGAACCTCCCCAAATTCCGAAAGCCCGGCCCTGTCAATTGTAGTGTGGAGGGCTGTCTAGCGGTTTGCCATTCTGAGTCTTTTGCTGGCATGGAGCAGAGGTCTTGCGCTGCTGCGCTTGACGCTGGCTTTTGCTGATGAGGGGGTAATGGGCACTTCGGCGTCTGTGCGGGTATTGGTAAAGTTGGCGAGTCCGTGGTAGGCGAGTGCATCTGAAGGACTCAAGTGGCTTGGCTGTAGGCAGGAACGGCCAGCAGATCCTGTAGCCATGTGGGGTCCAGGGTTGCTCTCCACCGTCTTCTTTCCAGGCAAGCCTCTGAGTGGTACTCTAAACCTTGTGAGCGCCCCCCGCTTGGCAGGCCTCTGGGACGGCTGATGATGCAAGACCCCAGGAACCATTCTTACCTGAGCCTCGGCTTGTGTTGGCGTTTAGGGTCTGGGACCTTTCCCAGCGAAGGCTCATCCCTAGACCCTCTGCCCTAAACCCAATCGCAGCCTAACCCCCAAACCCCAAACCCCAAACCCCAAGCCCCAAGCCCCAAGCCCCAAGCCCCAAACCCCAAACCCGAAAACCCCAACCCCCAAAACCCCAAACCACAAACCCAACTCCCTTCGGAGCCTCTGAAAAAAACAGATACACCGCCCCAACCGAGGCCCTGGCAGGTTATCGGGGGCGTAGAGCCTGGGCTGCGAAACATGGGGTTTAGGTAAAGCTTAGGGGGTTTTTGGAGGGTGTCAAGGTTAAGGACTAGGAGTTTCCGTTGCAGGTGCTGGGGGCGCGTCGAATGTCCCGTATTTGGGGCGCCAGTAGATGAGCTTTTTCAATTGAGGGGAAATACCAAGGGCCAATGAGTTGGGGGGGTCTTACAGGGCTTTCGGGCTGTTGTTTAGATGCTTGGGTGTTTAGGGGTTTTGGCAGTAATTTCATGTAGCTTCCGCAGTCGACGCCCCAAACCTGAAATCAACGACACGGCCCTGCCTCCCTCGACTTTTTTTTTTACTTGGGTGTGGTTTTGGGAAAGTTGAGAGGCCTGAGCCATTCAGGTGGTCCCCGCACTGTTCTTTTGGGCCATGTGGCGCTACGCCAACTTCGGCCGCAGGCTCAGCTCGCAGGCAAAAGGAAGCCGAGCACAAAAGCCGAGGGCCCAACACACACGGGTTTTGGGGTGTAGGGTGCGCGCTGTCAAATCGTTTGCTCCCTCCCTCGCTCTCATGGAACGGTCCGGTTCTTCAGCACATCCGGGCAGCTGACATGCCAGGGGAGCACTGGGATCAAGCAGCTGTTTTTGTGCCCCAGGGCTTTAGGACCTTCATAATTCGAAGCTCCTGGCACCTCAAGAACTGCCCGTGTGGCCAAGGCTTCGAGTTTTCCACGCTTGCCTTCAGCCCAGCTTCGGGGACATTGGGGATGGCTTTGGGGGGGGCTTATGGGTCCAGGTGTCTCGGGCTTTGGAGGATTTGGGGTGCTTTGTGAACTTATGTTTACGGGCTTGTGGGTTCATGGTTCGGACCTTTTGGGGGGTGGGGGGCTTGGGGAAGTGGTCAGAACTGCGAGTTGTGAGTATAGGGGCACAGGTAGCGGTTCTTCAGTCGGTTCTTCGGTTCGTTCTATTTTGCCAAGTTCCCGATGAATCTCTCTTTCCTGTGTCCTAAACCCTAAGCTCTAAACTATGAACCCTCACCCTAAACCCCCCCAAACCCTAAGCTCTCCGTGAGGCCTGCGAGTAAGCTGTCCAATTTCTTGGCCTGCAATCCTTGGTTCTGCACTCACGTAATCCGTCCAACTTGCGAAGTCGCGGTCGCCTAACCTGGATGTGGGGTTTAGGCTTTCGGGTTGAGGGTCTCGCCCTGAGCCCTGAACTCCCTGAGCCCTACACTCTAACCCTGCACCCCAAACTCGGAAACGAAGCTCCGCACCCAAGCGCAATCCACATACTTGTCAGGGTGTCAGGCTTCCGTGCTTCAGGACTCAAGCCAAAAGCCTCGACAGTGGGTGTGGGGTTTACGCGGTTTCTGGTTATCCGTTGTTCTTTTGCAGATTGTTTTGGGGTTTATGCAGTTTAGGGATACTTTGGGTTTTTTTGGGTGGTTGGGTTGGTTCCGCCTTTAACAAGAGAGCTTCAAAGAAGTAGGGTGCGAAAGTTGTACCACGAGCGAACCCTGTAACCTTTCCCGGAGAGCCCTGATTGCCCCCAGGTCATCTACCACACGCTTCGTGGCGGGCCGCGCTTCCGCCACTTCGGCCACATCCACACGCTGGTTCACAAGGAAGGCCATGCCCCTTGGCTGTTTTAAGGGGGGTAGTGTGGGGGTTTAGGTCCATGCTTTGTGGTTCCTTCAAAAAATCAAAGGGGGCTCGCACACCACGCTTGCTGAACGCCATGAAGCCGGGAAACACCCCCAAGACCCTGAACCCTTACTGTACCCCTAAACCTTAAAACCCTAGACGCCTTAAGCCTTAAGCCCTAGATGCAGCCGGTACGACCAAGTCTCACACCGGCATCTTCCGCAAGTCGTTCTGGCCGATGAACTACCTGCTCCTTGGCAACTCCAGGGTGGACTCAGGGGGGTTTAGGGTGTAATGGTTGATTTAGGGCTTAGTGTTTAGGGTCTAGGGTTTTGGGTGGGGTTAGGGCCTTCGGATTTAAAGGTTCACGGGGTTAAAGACTTAAGGTTCAAGGGGCTTAGACCTTCGATGTAGGGCTTAGGGCCTAGGGACTTTCGGACCTCCACAGAACCCTCAGCTACTATTTGCTTAAGGACCCCCAAGGAATATTCAAAAAATGATTCCTGACAAGGGCACTCTAGGGATTGTTATCGTCTACTTTGGGGGGGTTCTTAAGCACAAAGTAGTGGACCGGTGCCTCCGTTCGAGCTTTCTCGGGTTCTTCCCCCAAGTGGGCCCTGTAGCCTCAAGCCACCAGAACCGAGGCCCTGCTCCAACTTGTGGGCTTCTGGGTGACTCAGGGCATCGGGCTTAGGGTCCAGGGCCGCCTTTTTTTCATGTGTGTTTTTTTTAAGGGTTTAGAAGCCCTTTGCCAGCAGCTTTATCCGGGTGCGGTCTGTGCACCCCAGGCTCAGCGCCCGCCAGCAACAGACCCCAGCCCAAGCTTCAAGGTGCGAGTGGTGGATTGGGCCTTTCTACGGTGTGGTTCCGCATCTGGCCTGCATGGGATGGGCACTCTGAGCTTGGGGCTGGTTTGTGGCCTTGGAAGGTTTCGCCCTACACGAAAAAACCCAAACCCCTAAACTTTAAACCCTCAACCCTAAAACCCTAATCCGAAAAGCCCCAAACACCTGAAACCTGGAAACTTCCCCGCCTCCCAACGCTAGCCTGTCGCATCCTGCCAAGCCCCGGTGACCGCACCGAAAGCGGAGCCAGACACGCCCCACCCCCCCGGCAACCGCCAGACCCTGTATCCAAACTTCCCCCCCTAACCTCAAGCCCTAAACCCCAGAACCCCCCCAAAACACCCCCCCAAACACCCCCCCCAAACAACCTCCAAACCCCTAAACCCGAAGCCGCACCAAGCCTCGAACATCCCTTGATACTTGGGATCCCATTTTTTTCTACAATGTCCGCAAAAAAACCTCAGCCCAAGTTCCTAGACCCCCAAGCCTTCTGAGTGTACGACTTGGGAATTGGGGGTTTTAGCACCTTCGGACTCAAGGAACAGCTATAGCATCGCCCACATGAAGATCCACCACCGGTGGCACAACGACGTCGACGACGTTCACACGCATCTCGGCTGCCCGAAGCCCGAAAGCTGGCAAAGAGAGGCCCTTCTAATCCCCGAAAAAACCTTAACGTCCACCCCCCCCCCCACCACCAAAAGAGACCACACCCTAAACCGCCCTAAACCCTAAAACCCCCCAAACCCTAAACCCCCCCCCCCCCCCTTCAAAAGAAGCCCTAAAGCCCCCAAGCCCCTCGAGGAACCTAGACCTGGACCGGACCAAGCTGTCCTCGCCGCCTGTCTGGGATTTTAGGTTTAGGGTTCAGGGTTTTACCCTAAACCCCAAGCCCTACACCCCAAGCCCTAAAGGGAGGAAGGCTCAGGGATACATGGGTTCTGTTCTGGGGTTTAGGGCTTATAGGGCTTACGGCTATTGTTGATGCGGTTCCAGTCTTACGGGGGTGCTAAGGGTGCAGGCCTTTGGATTTGGGGTTTTGGGCGATTTAGGAGTATGAGGGCCATGATGTTTACACCACGGTACAGTGCAGACGAACTGGGGTCAGCAGTGTATGTTCTGCATTTTCGGGCTTAGGATTTAGGGTTTGGGCTCCAGGCTAGAATGTCAGGTTGTGTGTGGCAGAGGCAGCATGGGCGTCGATTCCGGAATCACGAGAGCAGAAGTGGTATCGAGTGACCCAGCCCCAAGCCGGAACCTTGATCTTTTTGATCTCTAAAACCCTAAACCCTAAACCTCAAACCCGAAGCCTCTAAACCCTGAACCTTTGTGGGATTTTCATGCAGGTTGCTGACTACTTCTCTTTTCTCACCCCATCGCCGAATGCTCGCTCAATTAAGAGTTGAGGCTGTCTCACGAGTGATCTGGAGCAGTCCTCATTGCCAATCGCACGCCTAAAGCCCAACCCCAAACCCCAAACCCCAAACCCCAAACCCCAAACCCCAAACCCCAAACCCCAAACCCCAAACCCCAAACCCCAAACCCCAAACCCCAAACCCCAACCCCAAACCCCAAACCCCAAACCCCAAGCCCTAAACCCTAAACCCCAAACCCTAATCTCAAAAACTCAAAGCCCCCGGAGCCCAAAACCCCCTTCAGGTTCTTCATCTACACGCCGCGTTTCAGCTTGCACCCACGGCTCCATAAGAGGGTGCATGGCTCTGGATTTCTGGGTGCTGGGTTTAGGGTTTAGGGTTTAGGGCTTAGGGGCAAGTATAGGGCACTGAGGGTTTGAGGGTTTTGGGTCTTAGGGCTGAGGGTTTTGCAGTGCAGGTCCCTTCTTTCGGTCTTTCAGGCTTGGGGGCTTTGGTTTTAAAATGCTCTGAAGTTTGGGGTCTTCAGGGGTCAGGGGGACGGAGGGTTTGAGGATTGCCGGCGCCTTGCAGTCGCGTCAGAGGGCCACCGGAAATCAGGAGTATGCGCTGAGCGGAGAGGTCATGGACCCATGAAATTCTTGATGTGGTGTGCTGGGGTCGCTCACAAAAAACAGCCGGTGATTGGGGCTTCGAAGAAGCCCTAAACAAAAAAAAGCCTGAACCCTTTGCGCAAGCTTGCTGATCCCTTCTTCAACACAGCTGAAGAAAGTTGGAAAGGTCGGCCGTGCTAACTTTGAGTCTTCAAAGCCCGAGCACAAAACTTCCAGCTTCCGGCTTGGGGTTTGGAGTTTAGGGGTTTGGGGTTTAGTGGTTTAGCACTCTCAGCCTAACTGTAAAGCCCTTCAACCCTAAACCCTAAACCCTAAACCCTAAACCCTAAACCCTAAACCCGAAACCCTAAACCCTAAACCCTAAACCCTAAACCCTAAACCCTAAACCCTAAGCCCTAAACCCTAAACCCTAAACCCTAAACCCTAGACCCTAAACGCTAAACCCTAAACCCTAAACCCCTAAACCCTTAGCAGGTACTGGATGGGTATCAGCCCGGTGGCCCTCCTGGCCAAGCGCAAGGCGCCAGCAATCTGCGAGCCCATCATTCTCAACCCTGAACCCTAAACCCCTAAACCCCTAAACCCCTGAACCCCTAAACTTCCCTAAGCTTCCCTAAACTTCCCTAAACATCCCTAAACTTCCCTAAACTTCCCTAAACTTCCCTAAACTTCCCTAAACCCCGAAAACCCTAAACCCCTAAACCCCTAAACCCCGAAACCCCTAAACCCCTAAACCCCTAAACCCCTAAACCCCGAAACCCCGAAACCCCTAAACCCCTAAACCCCGAAAACCCGAAACCCCTAAACCCCTAAACCCCGAAACCCCGAAACCCCTAAACCCCTAAGCCCCTACACCCCTAAACCCCTAAACCCCTAAACCCGAAACCCCTAAACCCCTCAACCCCTAAACCCCCTAAACCCTAAAACCTGAACCCTCAAGCCCGAAAATCACCAGAGCAAGCAGCCCATGAATCCCCCAAGCCCTCGTGGCCAAAGCATCATCATCACCTGCAAATCGGATCCCAACAGAAAAGGCCCCAAAAGGAAGCCCCAAGGTGCAAAGCAAGCCCCCCCGACTAGACTCTCGGGGTTCTCTTGTGGGGGTTTCTTTGGCATTCCCTGGCATTCCCTCAAACCCCCTAGTGACTGTCGCAACCAGCCCTCGAACACACAACCCCAAGCTTATCCAAAAATCGTAAACCCTACAAACCCTAAACCCTAAACCCCAAACCCTAAACCCTAAATCTTAAACCCTGAACCCTGAACCCTGAACCCTGAACCCCATCCCTAAACCCTGAACCCTGAACCCTAAACCCTAAACCCTAAACCCTAAACCCTAAACCCTAAACCCTAAACCCTAAACCCTAAACCCTAAACCCTAAACCCTAAACCCTATCCCTACCTTGAACCCTTTAACCCAGAGCCCCTCCACTGCGAAGGAGTGGGTCCTGGTTCGGCAGATGCTCGAAGGGATGCTGGCCTACTACGGGGTGACGCGCCTCGGCGCGTGTCACCGAGGTTTAGGGTTTAGGGTGTGGGGTTTAGGGTTCGGGGTTTAGGGTTTGGGGTTTAGGGTTTAGGGAGAAAGGTTTAGGGTTTAGGGTTTAGGGTTTGGGGTTTGGGGTTTAGGGTTTAAGCGCTCTCAGCCGCTTTCAAAGTTTAGGGTGTAGGGTTTCCGGTTTGAAGTGGTTCTGAGGACAGGTGAGACTTTGGAGTTCAGGACGTGGGCTTCGTTGAAGGGGGGCAGGGGTGTGGCGTTGTGCTTTTGTGGTGGCTTTGTAGAAACTTCAGAGGACCCAACGCCCCCAGAAGCCGAAGAAACCCTCAAGCCCTAAAAACCCTTAAAAGCCTAAACCCGCAAAGCCCTTAAACCCCCGCAAAGCCCCAAAGCCCGAAAAGCACTAACACCCTATTAAAGCCCCCCATCTTTGAGCAACCGAATTTTCTCTACTCGAGCGCCACGGCCCCCTTTGGAGTTTAGACAAATCCCTCGAGCGCTTTACAGCAGCGATGTCCATTAGGGCTTAACCCCCGGAAACTCCAAGCCCCTCAACCCCTCAAGCCCTACAGAGCCAACTCCTAAAACCCTCAGGTCCTTAAACTCCCAAATCCCAACTCAAACCTATCAACCCTGCAGTCCTCAAACACTGAAACCTCAAGAGCCCTGAAGCCCTGAACTCCAAAGTCCCTTTAAACCTCTGGAAAAAAAAACAAGCCCCAGAACCCCTAAAGCCCTAAGCTCTAAAAGCTCTAAGGCCCTAAACCCCCTGAAGTTGAAAACGAAAGCCCACAGCCAGAGGCTTCTTCTCTTCCTCTGGAGCCCAACCTTTTGCATCGTCTACTGGGTCTTCTGCCATCTCGAAGGCCCTTTAATGGGGCTTCAGGGGGTTTCTGAGGGGGTTTTCTCAGGGTTTTCGAGGGGGGCTTTCGGGGGGTTTGTAGGTGGTTTTCAGGGGGCTTGAACAAGGGCAGGTTGAGGCGGAGGAATGGATTGTCTGAATCCTGTTTGGGCTTCTCCCCCCGAAGATCTCCCCCAGACCGGCCCAATTCCACCCTGAAACCTTCAGCAGTCTCCTAGTGTGCAGGAATGCTCCTGCTCTGTGCCATCTCGTACCTCTGGCATGCCTTCGTGGAGGAGTCTGCGGCTTGGCAGGAGTTTAGGGTTCGGGGGGGGCTTCGGGGGGGGGGGGGGGCTTCTTGGGGCCGTTATTTTGGGAGCTGTGCTTCACCAACTCGGCCATCACTGGAGGGCCCTTGCAACTCCACTCCCTGAATCCGGAACCGACCCCCAGCCCAGGACCCAAAGCCCCAAGCCCTAAACAGGCCCTAAACCCTAAACCCTGACCCCCAAAACCCAAAACCCAAAACCCAAAACCCAAAAACCCAAAATCCCAAACCCTGCATTTGTGAAAGTGCGCCCCACAGAATTCGCCTCCAAGTCCTCCCGAGGATCCTGGAAACCAGTACGTCAACTCCGTGACGATCCTCGACGGCCACGACAACACCTTCAACGAGGCATCTGCGAGGGTGGCGAGATTGAGGGTTTAGGGTTTAGGGTTTAGGGCTAGGGTTTAGGGTTTAGGGTTTAGGGTTTAGGGTTTAGGGTTTAGGGTTTAGGGTTTAGGGTTTAGGGTTTAGGGTTTAGGGTTTAGGGTTTAGGGTTTAGGGTTTAGGGCTTAGGCTTTGAGTCGGCTCATGCAGTGGATTTCTCGAACGATGTCCTGTAGAGTTTCGGGGGGCAATTTGGTCGGGGATCTTGACCCCCTAGGGGTGTTTTAGGGTTTAGGGTTTTCAGGGCTTAGCGCTATGAACTCTGAGAATATCCCTAAACCCTAAACCCTAAACCCCCTAAACCCTAAACCCTAAACCCTAAACCCTGAACCCTAAACCCTAAACGCTAATCCTCCTTGGTTCAGGACTACCACGTCGTGCACCATCACTCCCCTTCGACGCACTGGTCGGACGCTCCGGCTCACTTCGAGGCGCACAAGGAGGAGTCTCCCGGCCCAGTGGGTTTAGGGTAGGGTTTAGGGTTCAGGGTTCAGGGTTCAGGGTTCAGGCTTTAGGGTTTAGGGTTTATGGTTTAGGGAGTTTCTTTTGGGGATTCTTTGGGGTTGCTTTGGGTTTCCTTTGGGAGTTTCGGGGTTGGGGTTTAGGGTTCTTGACGCCTGCCCCAATACAAGGTCAAGAGTGGGGTCGCGCAGGCCTGAGGGTGTGGTCAGACCACATGCAAGCTTTAAGGATCCGCGTGTTCTCTTGCTCCACTTTCTTCACGGTCCTCAAAAAACGTGTCACGGAACACAGAACCTTGTCACAGTGCGACCCGCTCTTGACCTCTATTGGGGCAGGGGGAGCGACTGAGAGAGAGGCAAAGGGTTCAATGAGGAGTGAGCGTCAAGAACCCTAAACCCCAAACCCCGAAATTCCCAAAGAAACCCCAACAGAAACACCCTAAACCCCAAACCCTAAAACCCTTTAAACCCTAAACAATAAACCCTACTACAATTTCACTCGAAGCTGTAGACCCGAAGCTCCAAATCAGAGGATTACAGGAGGGAGACCTGTAAAGGCACCCTAAACGCCTTTTCGCCCCTTTGGGTTCAGGGTTCAGGGTTTGCTCATCACCCGCTCTGGAGACACGTTGTATTGCGTACTGTGTTTAAAGAGCCCTACACACCTTAATGAAGCAACATGCCGACAAATTTTCCTCAGAAATATTCCTCAATCAAGGGGACTTGGGCTCTTTTGTTTACTGTAGGTCTGGTTGTGCCTAGTGGAGCTAGGGGCAAGGGCGTCGTGTTGAGGTATGCAGCTGTGAACGCGACCATCTTCCGCGATACGGAGGAAGGCATGCTCATACAGATGCTATTCGAAGCCCAGCTGCCTGAGTTGAAGATCGCTGTCCCAAGCTAGGGGGTGTTGGTGTTGCAGCGGCTTGCTGAACTCTCCTACGTCTCCAACTTCTAGGACGGCAGCCCTTCAAACCTTTCCCCATCAAAGCCCACCCCAAGTTTCCGCTTCCTTCCGATGCTTGGCTTCTTTCTTCTTGTGCTATGCCGATGACTGTCAGTATCCAGGAAGGGAGGGAGGCAGGCGGCAGGGAGGCATAGACCACTCTCAGTGCCAAAGACAAAGCGCTGGACGGCGCGTCAGAAAGAAGTAGCGCAGCACAAGCGGAAGGGGAGCAGCCCCAACGCGGGGGCGCACGAACAGCGCGGGGGCTTCCCCCTCATGCCCGAAGGAAGCAAGAAATAAAAGAGAGGTTGTCCTGTGTGAGGGAGATCCACGCCTCATCTCGATTCGTATCGCACCGACTGACTCGGTTACGCATGCCCCTTGGAGCGGTCTCCCTTCGGGGGGGGATCTTATGCGCTGAAGAAGAAGAAGAATAAGAAGAAGTTGAATAAGAAGAAGTTGAATAAGAAGAGAGAGAGAGAGAGAGAGCGAAGAGATGAACGCATGCCGACACCCAACGCACTAAGCCCTGAAGCCTCCAAACTCCCAGGCCCAGGTTCCTCAAGCAAGGGCCGCCTAAGCATGTTGATGTAAAGATGCCCCAAGGAAAATGACTGGGATGGCATGGCCCGGCACTTTGTCCCGACCTCGGCACCCAGTGAGGAGGGCTTCTTGCAGTTTCCGGCGTAGGGATTTGGAGGTCCTGGAAGCCCTAAACATCCCCAAACGTTGAGAACCTCTTAGATCTTCCATCACATGGAGAGCCTCTAATAAGGGGGTCGGAGCCCCGAGTGGGCGCATCACAGCCCGATTTGCATGTCCGCATGGCCATGGCGCTTCTCAGGCTCAGCGCGGGGCAGGGCGCCTTGTAGGTCCTCGTGCTCAGGAACGTCGCCCCTGTAGAGTTGGAGACCGGATGCTGCGGATTTGGAGGGTTTCCGGGGAAGAGCTGGCAGCTATTCCCGCGCAGGGGTTGACCGATGTGAGGTCCCTGAAGCACCACTTGCAGGCTCTGTACGGCTTCCCAGTTTTCCTTCAGCAGCTCTTGCACGAGTGCCACGTACTGGGTGATGATGCAAAGTTGGATGCACTAAGCGAGCTTCAAATCGTGCTTCGTCACGTCAATAGCTGTGCGCAGAGGCGATCGGTATCAGAGATGCTCATCGAAGCCGCTGGATGCAATCGGGTTGGCGTTGCGCGATTTCTGTTGGAAGTTGGAGCTGACATCGGCCGCTCGGCACTGAGATGCGCGTCGGACAATGGCCACGTGGAAGTCGTCAGTTTGCTGCTGCAAGCGCGTGCTGACGCCAATGCGCGAAGCATGCCCCGCAAGCCCAGAGTTCCCTGGCAGGTTGGACTACTACAAGCTACACTGTCTGCTGAGTTGGGCCTGGACAGTAATGATGGCAGCACAGCACTCATGATGGCGTCATCAAGTGGCCACACGGAGATCACACACCTGTTATTGGATGCTGGCGCCGACACAGATCTGATGAACATCATGGACAAGACAGCCTTGATCTTGGCATGTGAGCATGGCCACTTGGATACCGCGCGCTTGCTGTTGAGTGCCCGTGCTGACATGGACGCAGTAGGAGTATGCAGCAACACGGCACTCATCACTGCATGTGACCGGGGTCATGTTGGGATGGTGAACTTGCTACTGGGTGCCGGAGCGGACAGCGGCCGGCGCGGATTCTACGGCAAGACGGCTCTTATGGCTGCATCAGACAAGGCCCACGTGAACATCGTCAAGGCCTTGCTGGATGCCGGCGCTGATGCAGACCTGACGAACGACTTCGGCTGCACAGCGTTGATTTGGGCAGCTGACAAAGGCCACGATGGGATTGTGCAGCTCTTGCTGGAGGCATGTGCGGGCAAAGACAAGATGGACAGGCATGGCGAAACAGCGCTTATGCGTGCGTGTCGGAAGGGACATATGGACGCAGCGCGCTTGCTCCTGGCAGCTGGCGCAGGAACGACCCTAAGGAACACGAAGGGCGACACAGCTTTCGTCCTCGCAGCCGGTAGAGGGCACACGTGTGTTGCGCGCCTGCTACTGCTGGCAGGTGGTGGCATGCCTGGTGCAAGCCGCGCAAGCACTTGGATGACAGGGGGTGGCATCCACAGCGCTGGGCGCTATGGGCCGGTACGACAGCGAGTTTGCGACAAAGAACAGAGGGCGCGCCGTGAGTGTGCACTTGCTGGACTCGGTGGGGTGCTTCAGCACCATACTTTGCCTTAGTCGCAGATCTGGAAAGAGTGGAAAGAAGCCGCATCCGAGCGTTGTTTGTGGGAGATAATGTTTAGGCTGTGAGGAGATGATCAAGAGAGTTGAAAGCCATCGACGGTTTTCGGGTCACAAGATCTGGGATCTGGCATGTCTAGTTTGAGGCCGTCGAGTTCAGGTCCTTCACACCCCTGCTTAGTCCATTGCCGCTGGCTACAGACTTCGAAGGGGTGGTCGCTGTTGTTGAAGCTTAAGTATTAAACCCTCCCCTTCAACCTCATCCTCAATTGGGTCTTGAGGAGCGCAAGACTTGCTACAGATGAACCCTCGGGGGATTGTTTTCCAGGGTTTGAATTCGGAGGAAGGCTTGTCAGCCCTAAATTTCATTCCCGAACCCCACGCAAATGACTGAGTCCTGCTGAATGTTCCAAAACCCAGAACGCCTAACCCAAAACCCTAAACCCTAAACCCTAAACCCTAAACCCTATACCATATACCCTAAACCCCTACAACCCAAAACGTAAGATGTCCTGAGGTGGACTTGAACGGAAAGCTGAGCCACGAGGAGAAGAGAGATCTCCTCGTGCGAAGGTTCTCGGGCGGGCTCTTTGAGATTCAGGGTTTAAGGTTTAGGGTTTAGGGTTTAAGGTTTAGGGTTCAGGGTTTCCAGAAACTCCAGTACCCCTCCATGAAGGACTATTCCTTGGTAGACAAGATCCCAAATGTGATTGCCAGGATTAACCTTTTTTGGGTTTAGGGTTTTTAGGGTTTTTAGGGTTTTTAGGGTTTTTAGTGTTTTTAGGGTTTTTAGGGTTTTTAGGGTTTTTAGGGTTTTTAGGGTTTAGAGGTTTTAGGGTTTAGGGATTTTAGGGTTGAGGGTTTTTGGGGTTTAGGGTCTTTGGCCCCCTGAACCTTGGGGCCCAGGTTGAAGTACGTCGTGGGGCAAGATGGCCGAGACGGACTGCCAGTTTACGTCGGGAAGGGTTTGAGGTTTAGGGTTTCGGGTTTAGGGTTGGGGGTTTAGGGTTTAGGGGTTGGAGTGTGTGTTTGGTGCGGGCAGGAGAGTTCAGCCTAGGAGGGGTTTGTAGGACGAGGGTTTAGGGTTGAGCCTTCTTTGGCTCTTCCCAGATTCTGAGCCTCTAAACCTTAAATCCCCAAACCCTTAGGTTCTGTGGGCCTCGGCCTCTGACGGTGTTTTTGTTTGTTTTGCTCCGGCATACGTTTCCCAAGGCCGAAGTGGGGGGCATTTCCCAACATGAGGAATCCAAAGCACCACGATCCATATTGCGGCAAAAAAGGGCACCCCCCTATTTCAGGCTCTCAAGTCGAGATCCCCAAGCGGCTCAAGCCCACGGCGCCCTGAAGGAAGGCGGGTCGACTGGGGGTCTTCAGACACCATCCGAGACTACAACGACTGACCTGCCGCTTCTATAGATTCAGCGATGGTTTTCTGGGGCTGGACTAAAGCTCCACCCCCTGCTGCGCAGATCGCTTAACATGGTGGCTTCGGGTGTTTCTTTATCGGGTTCTTAAGGGAGGGGGGCTTCAAGGGGCCGGTATGTAGCCCAAGCTTCCCAAATATTCCCCCACTACCCCCTAAGGCGCCCTATCCGAGGTACCTGCCCCCCCCATGAACCCCCCCTCCCTCTAAGAACCCTCTAACCTCTGCTGGCGCCGGCCCATGGATGGTGCTCCTGGCTTCAGTCCCATGCTGAAGCGCAGTCGGCGTCGGCACATTGCTTTTAATTTGTGGAGTGAAGCCCCAGATGGACTTACCCATGGATTAGCCCCCAGCCCTTGTTCCCTTTCATGCGGTTGGGATCTCTTACAAACCCCCTTGAATCCTGAACCCTACGCCCTCAGACAAACCCTCAAGTCTTAAAGCCCTAATCGCCCCAAAGGCCTCACACCCCCTGGCTATGCCCTCAACCCCCAACCCCAAAACCTACCCTAAACCCAAAACCAGAAGCCCAAAACCCTAAACCACAAAAACACCCATCCCTAAACCCTAGAGGCCCAAAGCCCTTAAACCATAAGCCCTAAACCCCAAAGTCCTGAACTTTTTCTGAGCCCTTAAAACCTAAACACCCGAACCGCCCTAAACCCGAAACCCTAAACCCTAAACCCTAAACCCTAAACCCTAAACCCTAAACCCTAAACCCTAAACCCTAAACCCTAAACCCTAAACCCTAAACCCTAAACCCTAAACCCTAAACCCTAAACCCTAAACCCTAAACCCTAAACCCTAACCATAAACCGTAAACCCTAAACACCCTAAACCCGAATCCCTGAAGCCTTAAGGCCGTAACTTGGCAGCCGTACGGTGTCCTTCTGCCCTTTGTGTGTTCTGGGTTCCTTTGTAGAAGCAACCCAAAAAACAAAGAACCCTAAACCCCTAAAACGCAGAACCCTAAACCCCCGAAACCCCTGAACCCCTAGACCCCGAACACCCCTAGCACCCCTAACACCTCTAACACCCCTAAACCCCTAGCACCCCTAAGCCCCCTGAACCCCCCTAAACCCCCTAAACCCCGAAGCCCTCATAAAACCCTAAAGCTGAAGACCCTTAGCGGCCTTAGCGTCATTTCGTTGGGCTCCTGGTTTTCATGAGCGCTGGCCGCTTGCAGACCGATTTTCCAGTGGCAAGGGCCGAGGCGGGGAGGCCGGTTTAGGGTTTAGGGTTTAGGGTTTTAGGGGTTCGGGTTTTTAGGGTTCGCGGTTTGTATTGATGAAGAACTGTGGGTTTACTTTTTGGAGGGTTCGGGGTTTACGGTACGGGGTCGGGTAGTTGGGTTTTAGGGTTTTAGGGCTTGTAGGGTTGGGGCACGGGGGTTGTGAAGGCTAGGCTGTAGCCCAGGGTCTAAGGGCTCTGTGGGGGGTCTGGGCTTAAGGTTTGGGGGCGGCAGGGGGGGGGGGGTTGAGCGTCTGCGAGCATCCGCAGGCCCCAAAAAACCCCCGAAACCCTAAACCCAAAAGCCCCTCAACCCTACAGTGTTACAGCCCCAGGCGCAAAGCACACTAAGCCCTCCAGCCTCCTGAGTCATTGTCACCCAGAAATTGTTGTGTAGGTTTGAGGAAGTAATTGCGTATATCATCCTCATACCCCCTTATGCGCATACATATCTATATATATATATACATATATATATACATATATATATATACATATATATATATATGTGTGTGTGTATATAGGGAGCTGCTCAGCTTCTCTTTTGCTGCCTTCTTTTGCGGCCTTCCTCTCCCCCTGTCCGGGGGACCTCGTGACAGCGCGCAAGCCATCGAAGTGAGAGCGGCTCCTGCATCGCGAAGAGTCCCTGTTGCCCAGTCCCTGCTGCCCACACCAGATCCCACAAAGTATCTCTGGAGCCCCCACGTCGTCAGCATGCTTAGTTCCAGGGTGGAATGTTCCGAAGCAAGTGGTTTCTGATTCCCCAAACAGCGTGTCGACGGTAAGTAA